CAGGTGGCGGCCGCTCTTTTTTTTGTTGTTTGTTTCCTTTTGGAGGGTAATTTTTTTGCGGCGGCAGGGAGCGGGAAGCTGGAGCTCTGATTGGTTGCCGCGGTGATAGATGCCCGGCCAGTTTTCTGATTACGACGTTCTTCGATCTCCCGGGGCTCCGCGTAATCAGAATAAATGTCCCCCAAGGGTGGAAGATGTGTTTGAGTGTCTCCGCGTGTGTGTTTATGTGTGTATGAGATAGAAAACTGAAGCAAAAGTAGGTAATGAGTACCGCGGCCCGAGGTCGAAACGCATTCTGAAGTGCCATACAAATCCAAGCACGAGTGAACAAATGGAATATTAATCCATTGGAAATGATTCAAGCATCTCCCAGCGTTACAGACAAAAGTAACGAATGACTAATTTGTGAACATTACTGTGCAGGTTTCGTACGACACTTTGCATTTTTTTTTCCATGGTCATCTAAGTGCAAACACCAGTTAGCCAGTCTAATATTATGTTCAAATTATTCAAACAATGTCCGGACTTGAAGGCGAAGCTGTTATGGGTCATAAAGCACTCTCTTTTTTTTTTTTAAACATGTTACTGTTTGTTTTCGGTAACATTTTACATGTTTTCATGACGCGCGCAACAAATTACATCATCCAACATCGGAGATTAGCATGGCCCGTTTCAATGGTCTGTTACTCTTGTAACCATGGCAACATCAGTTTCAGCCACTTGTGGACACTTCACGGTCACATGAACTTTTCTTTCTTTTATTTTCGTAGAACGGTGCAGTTAGAAAAGGACGTGAACGCAGCAGTTCTACTGGCCAATGGAAGCGGCTCGTCTCTGCGTTCTACAACAGTGATTCCGAGGGTTCGATGCACGCTGGTGTCATATTCATGAATGGAACGCGATGATGTCCACCACACACATTCACAAAAGCTGAGAATCCGTTCGCCTGCACCTCGAGCAAATCCACCCGAATCGCGCCACAACTTAGACCTGCTTTTAAGCGTTTCAACGAGCCCCTGGATTTGCTTTGAATCTGGCTTTAGCAATAATGTTTCCATCCTCACATACGCAAAATGCCGCTCTCGCCCTTTCATGCAATGAATAGATACATTGCGTTTTGCTATAGTTTCCATCCTCACATACGCAAAATGCCGCTCTCGCTCTTTCATGCAATGCATTGATACATACATTGCGTTTTGCTATCTTATTTTTGTAAAATTGCGACGTTAAAGTGATGCTATTAAGTGGTGCATCGAATCTGCAGTCCTGAAATCGCCACTGAGTACACGTGACTTCTTCATTTTATTTTTTGAATAACTTTACAAAAGCCACAAAAAAAAAAAAAAAAACTTTGTTCCACATTGTCTTTGTGATGTTGCATGTTGACTTCTGAAGGCGGGAAGCAAATTTCATCCAAAATGTCGAAAAATGGAACTCCAAATTTCCCATGCTTTGCAGTACTGGACTTGGGAGGTTGCCACCATCAGGGACACCTTGTGTTGATGCAAAGCATTGCATGACTAATCCATGTCTTTTCATATTTTTGCCACTTTCAAATGACAACAGATGGATTTTTGTTCTTTTTTTTTGTAGTAGGCGAGACCATTTAAATAGATTTTTAATGAGCCAAAGTCATCACAATTTTTGACGCGGCGGCTATTATTTTTCTCTATTTCCTGGCCAGAGGAGCGTCCTCATTCATCATGCGTCTGCAGTCAATTTTCTTATGAATTCAAAAAGCCGTGCATACAGCCGTGCTCGGGAAATTGTCTACAGGCAGCAGAGGCGTCCCGGACATCCATCATCAGCAACAAGAAGCGGCACTGAAAGTGACTCGCGCAGACTGTCTGAATGAAGTTTACGCGATGACTTGTCGTTTGACCTCAGCGTTTGCTTGCCGTGAGTTTGACGTTACACAACTCGGCGCCTCAAATTGGCAATATCCTGATATCTTATTAATTGCAAATGGGATTTGATCAACACTCAGATGATTTTTTTTTCTCCCTGCGGACTGACAACAAAATGAAAGTCCAAAAGCATGAGTAGTTGTTCTTGACATCACGAGGACGCTAAACTGACTTACTATCATGAGTCAGGATGTAGTTGGTAGGTGGGAAACTATGTCAGTAAGGTTGAAGGTACAGTACCGAGGTAGGATTGATTGGTCACTGGGTTGGTTGGGTATCTGATGATCGCATCATTCGATATGTAGGTATGCAAGTACGAAGGTGAGTTGGTCGGAAGGTTGGAAAATGGGTGGAATGGTCTCAATTGGTAGGTAGGTTCGGGGTGGGTTGGTTGGTGGGGTGTAGGGTAGGTGGTTAGGTGTTGATAGTTGGGGAGGTAGGGTTAGTGAATAGGTAGGCGGGTTGATAACTAAGAGGGTACGTGTGTAGGTAGGTTGGTAGGGTAACTAAGAAAGCAAGCATGAAAGTAAGAAGGTCGATGAATTGGTGGATTAGTAGAGGTAGGTAGGCAGGCAGGTCAGTAAGTAAACTAAGAAAGCAAGTATTAAAATAAGTAGGTCAATGAATTGATGTATGAGTAGAGCTGGGTATGTGGGAAGCTAAAAACATACCAAGTGAGTTGGTAGGTTGGTCAGTAGGTTGCTGGGTTGGTAGGGTAGCTGGTAGGGGTAGCTCGGTTGGTAGCTAGTATGAAGCAAAGTAGGTCGTATGGTCGGCGATTTGGTGGATTGTTCGAGGTCGGCGGGGAGAACACTGAAAAACATCGGGAAGGCTTTGGGCTAAGTGTTGCTTATCAAACCCGTTAGCGTCTGTAAATTGCACGTCAAAGATTGGTTCCGTTTTCCAAACGGGTGTTGACGTGGTTTCCCTTCCAACTGTTGCCTACTTGAGTTAGCAGATATTCTGTTTGCTGATGTGCTCGATGTCCGTGTGCGCGCGTGTGAGAAAGCAATTTAGCGGGCTCTCTAAATGACCCATTTGGACAAGATGATGATGTTCGGAGGGACTGAATCACATTCCATGGCGACTCCCCAAGGCTTTCCAGGCTGGACCCCCGAGGGACGCGGAATCCACTCCTTGCACGCAGCTCCAGTCTTCTGCTGGGCGTGTGCGTTTAAATCAAAATTGGAGGCCATCATCTCAGCTGGATGCCTTCTCCCGTGCTGTTTGTTATCACACACTTTCAGCCCAACATTCACATATTAAAAAAAAAAAAAAAAAAAAAAAAAGCAGAATGAGAAAAATGTTGCTGTTGGACGTGAAGGTCACACAGCGGTTCAGCTTTGACTTAAACAAGTTGCGCCAGGAGCAAAGCCACCGTCTTCCCGTCAGGACTTAAGCTGACTCTTTGGGGGAATTGAAGTCAAGAAAGCAGAACGGACATTGGGGCTTGACAGAACACAATGACGCTAAAGCGACCAGCCAGATGTGTCCGGTAGCAGCTACAGCCTCATCTGGTTCAACGGCCCTTTTCAGGAGGTTTGTAAACAACAGGGACCGATTTTTTTTTTTTTTTAATTTCCTTTAAAACAATCTAAAACAATCCAGTGGAACCCGTCTGGTGGATGTCATCAATTGTTGGACCAGAGCCACAGCACATGTGTGCATTAATCTGAGCAACGGCAAGGTCACGCTCAAGCCTTAGATAACAATCGAACACAACCTAAAAGATTGTAAGTCAGAGAGCATCGGTCACCAAAAGAACAACTCAAATGTTTAGCTAGGCTAGGCTTATTTCCAAATAATGCTGAACGCTAAATCAACCTTGGCGAATATCACTGAAGACACACGTCGGAAATGTTGCATGTACCCCCTCCAGTCTCAACACAAAATTCGGATGAATATTGCATCTATTGAATCAGCATTGAGAAAAATGAATCCACACATTTGCATCGCTATTCGGAGGTGGCCATTTTGACACTCAATCGCCCTCTGCTGTCGAATGAACTCGATGGCATCACGTCCTCAGCTCGCACTGAGAACATCACTTGAAGCAAACCGGGGTTATTATATTGAAGGAAAACAAATGACAACTAAAATTGTGAAAAAAATAATATATTTAAAAAAAAATCAAATGAAAAAAAAATATAGTGTGTTATTTTTTTAACTAACGAAACTACGATGACTAACTAAAAATAATAAAGGTAATAAAAACTAACAAACCATATGTCAGGCCCCCCCCCCCCCCGCACCCCACCCGTTCCATCACCAAATACGTTTCAGCTCATGCCGTCCAACAAACACCACACCTCACCCCCGCCGATGAATATTCACCGGCCAAATTTTGGTCCCAGTACGTCCTTGATATCGGCTATCAAAAAGCAATTAAAACGGGGCCGAACCCTGGACTGGACACCACTCATTTCTGTTGCCGTGTTAGGGAAAAATACTCCGCTGACCAACCTGGTATGACGCTGATGGAAGAGACTGACACTCTGTGACTGCATCTGCCAGTCGTCCATCTGGGAAACGTACTCGTCCGCCGCCCCCGCTCGTACTTTACAGTTTTGTCACTACACCTTGTTGTAAAATTTGCTTCATGTATTGTATTTTTTTTTACCTGCTTTGACATTTGTGTATGTCAGTTGCCAGGCTACGATATAAATCTATATTGATGATACGGCCGTCCCCGTGGGACGAGGCGGATGAGAGCCAATCCCGCTGCCTATTGACTGCTGTAGAATTGCTTTTGTAATATTGTTTGGGAAGACAGACGACTGGAGGGGGAAAAGAATGGGGGGGGGCATTCTACCGAGGTGTGATTTTTTTTTTTTTCCCCCCAGTTTCTTTTATTGTACCTTTCTTCGGAAGATGGAAAAAAAATCTCAGAGGGCTGAAGAGATGAGAGATGACAGGAAGTGTGGAAAATTACAGAGCAGAATCAATCACAAAAAAAAAAAAAAAACAGGGTGGGGGGACAGTTGCGAATGGAAAAAAGTTGAGCAAGAGAGAAGGTGTGAATTAATATCCATACAAGAGGTTAACGGTTGCACATTGAAATAACTCCAAAATACGCACGGCTGATTCAGTGACTGTGACGTGACTTATTCCAAAGACAGAAAATATGATCTGATGTACACGCACAGCAGACAAGACAAAGTCTAACATAAGAAGTTAATTCTTGGCCAACCAGCGTGGATAACCCAAGCATTTATTACTATTCCCTAATTCCTAGCCCCTACCCCAACACTATCGCTTACAATCCTGAAAGACTGCAAATACATTTTCAATGAGTCATCGGTCCATTTCTGGAGGTCGCTCAAGACACATAAAATGGTGCTGTCATTTTCATGACAAAATATCATTTCAATTTTGTCTTCAATTAAAATAGATCACTAAACCCTATCATGAATCCAAAACAAATACGTCAACAAGAACAACAATATCATTTTAAAATACAGTTCTCCCTCCTTTCCTGACCCAAAGCCAACTCTACACATCAGCAGGCTATTCATGACCAAATCCTTCTGGCTAAAATACTCTAGTATTGAATCCTCCAAGTCGTACGACAATCCGCAGTGGACCTGGTAAGGTAACAGCGAGCTTCATCATCATTTTTGTTTCATTTTTGCAGCGGTCTCGATGCCCTGCCACCTGTGTCCAGTCCTGGTACTGCACTTGAGGTTATAGAGCACATGACTGTTGATTGCTGGTCGATGGGTCGTTAAGAGTAGTGAGCCTTGACGATTTTGTGCAAGTGCGTGTGTGTGTGTGTGTGTGTGTGTGTGTGTGTGTGTGTGTGTGCGTGTTTAGCCTGCTTAAGTAGAAGCACTTCCTGTCTGGGCCTGAAAAGTTTCAGCGAGACGTTGCCGTAAAATGGTAAGATTTACATCGGAGTGGGACCCAGCTTTTTGTTTCCAGAATGCGGCTGATAAAGCAGAGTTATGTGCACACAACAAAGATGCTTGCGCACGTACACACACACACACACACACACACACACACACACACACACACACACACACACACACACACGCACACACACACACGCACACACACACTCAAATGCTGTTGCAGAAAATCTCCAGCTATTGTTGTTGTTGTTGGTCATGCTGTTGTTGTTGTTGTTGGAGATCGCTCTGTCAGCACAAACCGAGAGGCGTCAACAAGACACAAGGCAAAGAGGCAAGACAGGCAAGTGTGTGTGTGTGTGTGTGTGTGTGTGTGTGTGTGTGTGTGTGTGTGTGTGTGTTTATTTGTTTGTCGGCGTGTGTGGCCTCGCCTCGCCTCGCCTCAGCCCTGTCATGTGGATTCATAACCCAATCCCCGCACCAGAACTTTCTGGAAAGGCTTCACTGCAAAAGCATTCCGCACTGCCGCAAAATACATCTGCTCCAAAAAGATGTTTATGGAAGCGGGCCTACCTTCGAGACGAAACCTATTCGGGCCGCACCGAATTAGCACAAAAAGCCTTGGTTGATGTTTCCCAACATAAAAGCCTCAGGGGAGTGGAAGGAGGGGAAAAAAAAAGGAGAAATGCAATTTTGACATGTACAAGATTGCAGCATTGTGGAGGCTGTGGATAAACGGTGAGGTGTAATCAATGGCGGCGGCGAAAGGGAAGTAACTGCACTCGATGGCACAACACTTTTTACAATCACACGCTGGGGCGCCATCATCGCCACATTTTCCGTGTAAACAAGCACAGCGGTATGATGGCTCACTCTTCTTTTTTTTTTTTTTAAACCCGGTCCTGCAATCACACACATACACACACACACCCACACACACTAGCATGCGTCTTGTCGTCGCACAATTACACTCCCCAAGCACAACATTCATGACAGAATCTAATGAGCTGTGTCCAGTGTCTGCTTTTACTAAGATAACAATGCTCCGTTTATATTGAGGTAGTTACTGAGTGCTGTACAACTTTAATGCTGGAGACTAGAAGCTGGTAATCATATTTTCACCCTTTCATGGAGACTCTCGCAAGATTAATAAACAGACGTTCCCTTTTTGGATTGAAATTGCAGCATCGTGACTCGTACCAACGTTCCACCGCACTTGCATTAGTGCTAGTTCCGGGCCAGGGCCCCTGTTAGCACCAGTTCTTCCTTTTTCCATCACGGAAATTGGCTCGAGCTCTGGTGCTTGAAACTGGTGCTTAAACTGGCCCCAATTATTTATCGGGCCAGAATCTGGCATCAACTATGTCAGGGGGGTGAGGGCCAGGGCTTATCATGACGATCGCAAATATAGAGGAAGGACTCCACCCGAAGAGCGACGGCGGATGTGCCCGGCCGGCTAGCATGCGATCTCCAACTCATGACCGAGACAGTAACTCAAATGACCCCATTTAAGTCAGTGCTAAAGCACTGAAGAGAGTGAGACGCTAACTCTGGAGTGGGAAATACTGGTCGTCCACGGCCCGGTGTCCTGGATTTTATTTTTTTATGTCTCCCTGGCCCAACACACCTAATTCAAGTGATAAAGTGCTGGTGTTGCCCATCTCTGCCCTAACCCTAACATTTTAACCTCTTACCCAAACTCTTAGCTCCCTACCCCTAACTAATGAACACATACAAGAGTACGAGACGTGTCACGGGCACGGGTGGGGTTGGACCCAAGTGCGGTTTAGCGAATTATCGGAAATGGCTTTTAATATAAACCGTGACAGGTTCAAGGACAGGCAGGTGCCAAGCTACACAGTTCACTTGGATGTCCTGAGACACTTGAAGTCCCAGTACAAAGTAGTTCAGGTCACAGTTTGGATAGAAAGGCTTCGAAGATTAGGAATTGGTTTTTAGGACAAGTGCCGTGAAAAGTTCTGCCAGCTGCCAGGAAGTGGAGGAGTGAAACTGACACTTTGTTGTCGTTTTAATCCATAATTGACAGAAAGCACGATAAGGAAACTCAGGATTTATAAATCGCGGCCACAGAGCTCCAAACCTCGAAGTGGACAAGCGAACATGCTAAAGTACAAATCACGGCTGAGGGGGTTCCAGGCAGAACCGTAGTTGGGTGGGTTGTGACTGGCAGTGATGCGTGTAGCAAACTTGCTGGTCCCGACCTAATCCCCCAAGCACGAGACCCCAACTCTACCAATCAGCAAACGTCCACATCAATCCCTTAACCCAATACTTGATAGCTAAGAATGTAAATAGAGCGGGATCTACTTTTCAGGTCAAGCAACCTTCCGCGATCGAACGTTACGGCACGCGCGCACCCACCCACGCGCGCATGTTATATTGAGCAACAGCCTAAGGTGAATGAAACATAAAAATAAAGTAAACACACTAGTTTATGATAAGAGAATCACAGCCTACCTGAGTGGGAGACCTGACGCGGAGGCATTGGACGCACTCTTGCAGCGAGTTCAATGAGTGAACGTCACCGTCGTAGCTCACTTGTAACGTTTTAAAATCCTCCTGACGCCCCATATTCCAATTTTTTGTCAGTGCCATCGGTGAATCGACGATGAAACGAACGGAATGAGGAAAAAAAAAGAGATATATCGCAACGGCTCTGATTGCGAGCTGCAATTGCTGACCGCTAACAACTTCCGGTGATGGACGTCACGCGTCACCGCAGGTAAAAGGTGACCTGCTTTTGATTTTTTTAATTTTTTTTCAAAGACTTTTTTTCTGAAAGTGAAACTGATTGGATTCTTTGGGTGCAGTGTACACAAACACAAAAATATATATTATCAATATCACGCACACAAACACACAAGTCTCCCCTCCCCCCCATTTCCTACTCCCCCGCCCCCACCCCGCGTCGATTTGCCCGAACCCAAACCCTAAACCAACCCAAAGTGTCTAACCAACTAAAGTGGGGAAACTTCTAACGTATCCCGAAAGTCCAAACGAAATCTTAACCTCAAAATACTTAAAGAATCCTAACTAGCAAACAATATTGAGGAGGAGCCTAAAACAATTACCCCACCCTAATCCCCAACCCAAACCAAAATAAAACCCAAACATGAAACCCCAAATCCGACCCTGAACTGACTGAGGTACAGAGAATGAGACGCTTACCCTACTTCAACCCGTTAAAAGCTAAACTGAACCCAAACTAAGACACGACAGCAAGTGAGACATAAGGCCAAAATCGGAATCCCTTAACACAGGCCAAAATCTAAACCGGGTAGGACACTTGCTGAAGTGAGACCCGATCCCTAAATCAAACCCGACGCAACCTCATAACCCAACCTACCCCTATACCAAATCTAACTGGCTAAAATGCGGTTTACATAATCCTAACAGGTTTAGAGAAAAAAAATTGAGAGCCTCGGCCAACCCCCTAACCCAAAACTGAATGACCAAAGCATAACCTCTAACCCAATCTCAACGAGCTGATCCATTAAAGCGAGTCCATGCAGGTTTGTGGCAGAGTTGCAGTTTGAAAACCATGACAACAACACATTTGCTGTAAGTACGAAAGAAGCGAATACGCCGTTAAGTGAACGAGCCTTTTCAGGGAGCGCAGATAAAATCAGCAAGGTAGGAACAAAGAAAAAAAAAAGAGTAAATAGAAAGTTTGGATGTGAGTGAAGTGTGTTGGGGAGGGGGGGGGGGGGGGGGGGGGGGGAAACAAAAGGTTTAAAGGCTTTTTGTAATCTGCCATTAATTTGGCCTGCACCAAACCACAAGGGGATGCGGGGAAATCAATGTGGGCTGATTGCTACATTTACAGAACAGCACAAAACGCACAAGCTGCCCGTTTTCGTTCGCTCTGCTCGTGTCGCGCCGCTTATTTCTCCAAGCCGGTGGTGAGTCGGGCCAATATTGGAAAAATGCAGCGGTACACTTGCGCGCTACGGCTCAATGTTGTTATTACTGTCGATGCTGTGTGACTGATTGCACAATGTTGGATTGAGTGCCCGAGTTGCAGTGGGAAACAAAAGCAGCAAAGTCAAGTTTTAAGATGCGTACAAGCACATTTGGACGCCCGGCGGCACAAGTCGACGCCATTTCCGATTGACACCGCCGGCAGAGCGATTACGGGGAAACGGCTTCAATGATGCTGCATATTTACTCGACGAGTCTTCGTGCTGGATGTGTGCCTTCAAGGGGCGTGGCCTAGTGCGAGTGGCTGGACGTGAGCCGCGGCCTAACAGCAGTGTCTCCCCTTGCCGACGCGTGAGGCCATTACAGCATCCCTATTGCTCCCTTTTTCTAAATTAACTCGAGCTGTGGAATAACAAAATTCCACACTCCAGGCATACAACTATACATGTTTAAACAATTAAAACCAAAGTTAATGTCCCATCATTTGTCCCCTTTAATGACGAGATGTCATAAAAAAAAAAAAATCAATCATTATGAAAACTTCAAGAGTTGCTTTGGTCTACCCGGAGGCTTTGGAGTCAAACGGGGGTATGCACAGCTTCCTACTTTGGATGGTTACGGCAGTAAACGAGAGGGAGGCGGCGAGAAGCGACGCGCCGCAAACGCTTTCACAGTTTTCATCAGGAATTCGCCTCGCGTGGGGGCGGCAGAGAAATTACACCCAAACGCACCCGTCACATTTGAATATATTCATCGTATTTTTGGGATGCGGACGCCTCGCACGGTCGTCCACAACTTCCTCACTATAGCGCCCCCACCCACCACCCTTCCCAAACTCTCTCTCATATACACACACACACACACACACACACACACACACACGCACACACACACACACACACACGCACACACACGCGCACGTGTTCTGCATGCCGGTCATTAATTCCAAGCAGTGGCCAGCGAGCTTTAATGCACGCAGATGAGATTTAGAGGCCGGCTTCTCCCAACAAAGAGTCAAAAGGACAAAGCGTTGCCATTGTGAGCTCGGCCAGGCAATGAAAGCATTAAGATAACTGTTCAATATTTATGAAAGGGTGCTGCTCGGCGTCCGCACGCGCGCACGCGCGCACGCACAGGAAGACGGCACACAAAGCAAACAGCTTCCAGTTGACTCATTCATTACATGAATTGATTTAGTTGAAGTCTCCCTGGTGGTCCTTCTGTGTTATTAAGCTTCTTTATGCCATTGTGTGTGTGTGTGTGTGTGTGTGTGTGTGTGTGTGTGTGTGTGTGTGTGTGTGTGTGTGTGTGAGAGAGAGAGAGAGAGAGAGAGAGAGAGAGGGAGAGAGAGAAAGCAGAGGAAGTAGTTTCTGAATGTCAGTTTAAGTCATATCAGCACGTGCACTTGCTCCGATGTCCGATGTTCTTTGAAGGGTTGAGTACAAAGGATAAAGCAAGGTGTCCAAGTCATTCGGTACACTTTGCCAAAATAACCACAATAAAACCAGTCCATACGAAATTAGCAATTCAACGTGATTTTGGGGGCGTGTGTTGTGTTGATGTTAGCGAGGTATTTTATAGCAATACAGTATAAGGTTGAAGGTATAATCCCACCCCAGACATCCCATGGTGTAGTTCCACGGTGAATCACTAGACGGCGGCAAACTGTTTTGTTTGACACTAAATTCTAAAGAAGAACACTGAAAATGGGAAGCATTTCAGCTCAGCCTGGTTTTTGCTGAATATTATTGAATGCGAAATCCTCTTCAATCCTGCTTTTTAGGCCGACAGAAAACGACACTTGTAGGTTTGTTTTTACGAACATCTTTGGCATGATTATTGATGTATATTGTCAGAAGTTTTTTTGTTTGAGGAAAGAAAATGTGATTTATTTACTGGAAACGAAACGAGAGATCAGATGGTGACGATCTCAATCTGGTGGGTTACGGCACCAAGTGGCCCTGACGCGTGAGGATGGACTGTTATGGACACAAAAGTGCCAATAAATTAGAAATGCTTTCTTTTGCTAGCTGATGTATTTCCGCCAAAAATGGTGGCCATGGGTCTTCATTTACTCATCTGCTTAACACATGACATCCCATAATGCCTGGGAGTATTGTTCTACATTCTGTCTGTATGCGTTGCTGCACCATTTGTGTTTCCATAGTAGTAGTGTGAAGGTTTAAAATCCCTGCAATTTTGATGCTAAGTTTTGCTCGCCTGTCAATAGTGTTTTGCATTGTATGTTTAACATAAAGCTCAGCTAAAAGAAACGTGTTTTTGTTTTTCTCGGCAAAACCAGAGATGGTTATCAGCAAGAATGAAAATCCACAAAATTTATCAGTGACATTGCTTCGATTTCTGTTTTTCTTTTGTAGTAGCTTTCAACTGTTTCAGACAGAGAGAGCACTTGCGTCAACCACCGCAATTGCAGTTGAAAACCACGCTGGTTTTCATGACATTCGAACTTTTCAGGTCGGAGGAAAACCAGAAAAATCCCTGGTAATGAAAAATTACAGTATGACGACAAAATGGTGACCGTCCTGGCTTGTCCTCATCTCCTCCCTCCTCTTCCGTCACGCTGCCCCCCCCCCTTTTCTTTTTTATTTTTATTATTATTATTTTTGTGTTTTTACAGCCGCATCAGTTAAAGTGCCTTCTGACTCAATTCTTGCTTTGCCGGGGTGCTGCGATTTACACCCCCATTCCAGACGAGGCGCAGCGGGGTGGGGTGAAGCGGCGGCGGGCGGAGCGGGGCTGTGATGGGATGCGGCTGGGGCCGAGATGAGCCATTACTTGTCAGATTTACAATCCTGCAGACTATCTCCCGTCCATCCAACCTCTGAAGGGTTCAAGGTTCAATTTCATTTGGAACCTGTTAAACTAGAGAGCATCCACTCGCTTCTCACGCTGCGCTTGGCGTTTTACGCCCGGCGCGATCGGGCACGTACGTCTTCGGCAGCTGCCAGATGCCGTGGCGGGAGATTTACGAGCCCGCCGCTTGACAGGGGAGGGCGCGATCGTTCGATCTCCGCCGTCGTTTTTTACGTCAGGACGCTCGGCCAACCCCTGCCTACCTTCAAGGAATTAAAAGGGGGCCAAAACACAAATGGGAAAATGAGAATCAGGAATGATGACTTGGAGAAGGAGTAAAGCTTTCAGGCATCCATCAAGCCAAGTGGTCGATAAATTGATGAGTAAATCAGACAGCAAACAGTAAGTCCGGGCTAAAGCTCCATTAGGGGAGCGCTATGTCATCATTACACTCCATAGTCCACAGGCCCGTGGCGAAAAATCGGTCATTTATTTCCAAGCGGGCCGCGAGCACGGGCTGTCAATCACCCGAGAACTGGGACACCGCGTTTGACTTATGTCCGCTGTGCCTAATGACGGATTTGCTGTCAAAGGAAGCGCATTAAAGGCAAGCGATGTCGTGGGGAAAAAAATGATGCTCAATCAGGCTTGACTCAAGTATTTAAGCCATGTAAACACGTCCACGTGTCCAAACAACAAGTCTGCGCATTTTAAATAAACGACCACCATGATCACATTAAAAACTAGCTCGCTAAGATAGAAATTTGGAGCATTCTACACACCAAAATTGAAGCTTACTTGTCGTCATCAAGGACTGTTGCTAACATTTGTCCTCCGCGCTTCAATAAACTATAAACACGACATATTCACTCATTTAAGTAGTTGGACAAAGTAATGTTGTGGTTAATGTGGATAGCAAATCTACTATACATTCCTTTTCTTTTTTTTCGTTCGATATTATAGAAGAACG